CATACAGATAAAGAACATCCCAATATTCACATGTTCATGCGAAAAAATGAAAGTTCTTAATAGAGTATCCCTTTTCTTATCGGATTCCTAAAAAACAACATTTATAATGAATTTTAACAATTTTTTTGGATTTATTTTAAGGCTTAATCCCACCGATTCGGCCGATTCCCGATCCGGATCGCCGATTCATGGGTTTTCGGAGTGCCCGACCCGACGCACCGATCCGTTTTTTAAACCACTGCTACAATGTCAACTTAAAAGCTAGAGATGCCAATCAAGTCTCCATCCATACGAGCATCATCTAGATGACGTTAAGTGGATATATCTGTTAGACAAACCAAGATGCATTTGACTATGTACAAAAGAGAGCACAAGGATTCTCACACTTGAGGGGAACCTTCTTTAGATGCATGGTGCTTCAAAATCTTCTCGTATGTTACATATTCAAAAGATTAGACCGAATTGAGAAGCATGGAGATGATCTTACTTGCATAATATGAAGTGTATAATTACCAAATTACAAGACAAACAGTACCATGAATAGAGCAAAATTACCCTGGCTAACTTCACTATCTTCAGCTAAACAAAGTTATTCATTATAAATAAATGAAGACAGAAAAGGCTGAAAAGTTTCCAATACAAAAGAATTCCCAAAACAACTCTGTTACATGTTGTTCATTTTACATAGACCTTATTGATGAATTATCAAAGATATTGAAAAAGAAAACTGACCTGCTTCCAAAGTGGCTGTACTGTCCTCTTTTGAGGCAACTTGTATGTTCTCTGTAAACTGTTGGACATCATTGTACAATTTTTTAAGACAACAAGTTCTCATGACATATGAAATTGGATATTACTGATGATCTTAATCCATCAAAACTAACCAAAGACCAATTTGCTAAAAGTAGCTTTAATAGGAAAAAAGAAAGTAGTCATAAAGTTTATATATAATGTATTTTCTTCTCTTTCTGGTCGGGTAGCCTCATCTGATTCAGATGGATAAATACGAGTTCAATATCAAAATGGGTACCATGTGCCTCTTACATCTACAAAAATACATTACAGAAGGACTCACTTTAATGTCAGATCTGCTTCATATGAGAAGTACAATCCTGTAGTTGACTCCACAGTTTTTAAAAGACTCATAAAGTAAGCTTCATCTCTTTTCTGCAGAATTCAGAGGCTGAAATCAATTAAAATAGTGATATATGAAAGCCAGGTCCAGTACAAATAAAAATCACCATTTCCCATAAAATTGAGGGAACAACACAACTCCAAGGGCACGTTTGACTTGTGGAAGAGGGGACTACTAAAGCATGGAAGCCCCCACTTCTACAAATCTTTGGAAGGAGCGGCTTCCAAAGCATGGAAGCCACCCCTTCCTAAAATAACGTCTTTTGACGTTGAGTGTGGAATGCCGCACTTCCGTTTTGCGGCTTCCATGCTCCCGCAACAAACATGAGAGGGGGATTTATTGGTACTTACGTCTCCCACTCCCAAAAGGTTCCAACAAACACACCAAAAATGTTTTAACTTAAGTAACATGTAAGAGTGTTGAATGATGGAAACATATCCTCATGAAACTTACTTCTTGATAGCTAGATTGCTTTAGTGCCTCATTACAGGAGAGAAATTTCATGGATACTATTTGGAAAATGGGAAACCCACTGTGTGTCCCAACTTGCTTTCTAGATGTTATAACAAGCAGATACATTCCTGCATCCAATCCAGATCTATATAAAGATAACATCAAAATAAAGAATGTTAAATTGCAAAATGCTAAGAAGCAATATGCTAAACGAATCTTCATGGTGAGACCAAAATACCGTATTAAGGCAGAGATTATATGAACGAAATCCTAGTTATCATAAATATGACACAGGTTATTATGACAAGACAGTCACACAGTTAACTTGACATAAAACTGGGGAACGATAATTAATGTGCTGAATGTGTTCAGTGTGAAAAAATAGTCAGCATGAATTTTATGTGAAAATGCTCATTATGAATTTTAGTGGCAATGCTAAACTAATAAGCCTATGCATTTAAATGTCAAGAAATGATTTGCAATGATTTATTCGAGGTAAACTTTTTCAAATCAGTAGCGGGTTCAGCAGAAAGTCACACAATATGATATAACTCATCAATCTTTGTATAGTTAGCGATGCTGCATTTAGATTAGAAAAGATTGAGAATGTTTAATAGTTGTTCTTAACATTGGACCCTCATATCCACTGATCTGATCAAACAGCTTAATCAGCACTAGTATTGGATTCTTTCAGGATTGATTGTCTGCAAGGTTTGGAGAAAGACAGTAGCAGTATGTTTATAGTCAAAATTGAGGGTGAAAGACCTACTGATCTCTCAACTCTGATTTTGCCTAAACAAGATCATTTATGTTCTAATATTTGGAAATTCAGGTCTCCATCAAATTACAGAACACCAAAAGTGGACCTTTCAGCCTGCTTTTTATGATCTGCTGGCCTTGCTGGCTAACAATCCACAAAAGATGAAGGAAACAGTTTATTATTGCAAGAAAATGGAACTAACATGCACTTGTAATGGAAAATGAAAGAAACCTAAAAGATAGCTTAATTAATTAAGCTGGGCCCATAGGCCCAGCACCCAGAATAGGGCCTAGAACAGAACTGTGGGCTTCGTGATCCAGACTTCTCCGACTTGAAGAGAGATAGAACTTCTTTGGTGCCGGATCTTGAATGATAGTGTTTGAACAATCTTGAGACTACATCCTAAAAGCATAGAATTTGTTGTACTATGGGTTTAATGTCCATGGTTTGCTAGAAGCATGTATAAGTGGATCTACCTAGGAGACTTCGGGTGCAAGTTCGAGTTTCTTGGGCCCATAAATGGCCTGGTATCCTCTGGTTTCAGTGGGTTAAGGCTAGGGTAATGGGGGCCTAGGCTCATTAAGGTCCAAAGGATTTAAGGATCGAGTAGGTCTCAAAGGCTCAGGAGTCCAACCCTAGGGGGGAAAGGGCAGTTTTATAGGAAAAGGACTATGTCAAGATCAGGCTGAGGATGAGGCAAGATCTGAGCCCTCCATCCTCCAACGACGCTAGGTGCGTAATAACAACGCTCTGTGCATCATTGGGAAATGGCAGGCCCATCTTGTGCCACTGTGCTTGCCAATACCCTACATGCTCGCCCAAATTCGATTTTTTACCGTTATCAATTGATTGGATGGCAGGGCCATGTGATCCTCTAAAATACCCCTCAAAACCTTCCTTTGTTGACCTAGGATAAGTGTTATTAGGACTTGATTGAGGTAATTAAGGTATGATTAAGAGCAATCTAAGGCTGGGGAATGGGTTACCTTGTTCTTTAGCCTAGATTTGTTGAGTTTAAGTCAAACTGGGTCAAGATAGCCTGATTATGCAGGTGGCTTTGATTGATTGGACAGGTTTAGGTAGGTTAAGTGTGTTTGAACCCTAATGACCTTGGATTTGTGGGATTTTGGCATTGTTCTTATGGTGGGTGTAATGGTAGCCTATGGTCCACCTCGTTTAGTGTGGTCCGCAGTGGGTTTTGGTGAATTGGTTTGATAAAAGGGATTTTTCAGATTTTTAGGGTTAGAATTGGGGAACCCTAGTAATTCTGTTGAACCGAATGAAGGGAATATCTACATAGTAACATCTTCATCTCTTCAAAGCAACCCTTGTAGGTAGCTCTAATGAGTCAGCATGCTAGTTTCTTTATTCATGTTACTGCCACATCCTTGGCTGGTTATGTTCACATTAAGTAAAAAGGAGGAGGAAAAAGGTTAGCTCAGCTTGTTTGGTGTATTTGGATCCAAATGACAATGTTAACCACAAATGGGAATGTCAACCACTAAGACATAGTCTAAGGGACATGCTCAAGTTATGTAATCATCTATTTTTCTTTCTTTCTTTTTTTTCGTTTTTTTTTTGGTTGGGGGGGAGGGCGGTTGGTGGGGGGGCATCATTGCCTGATCTGATCATCTCTTCCTGCAAGCTCTAATCAGCAAGCTAGCTACTTATCCATTTTGCTCTCACAACATCACAACTCCACCAGATTTCTCAATGTTATCCACTGCCTCATCCACCAACTCATCATGCAAATAGGTCCTCCGATTTTTCAAAGGAAAAAGTATAAGATAGAGACAAGAAAAGAAGAGAACGAAGAGGGTGGGGGATTGAACAAGGAGGTAGAAATGGAAAGGTTAAGAAAAAAAGATGGAAAATACTAAACCGAATTATGTGTGTTCATGTCTATACATGACTTTTATCCAAGAACATAAGGAGAACAGATGCATGCCAAGTGATCTATGTAGTTAAGCACAAATGAGTCTTTCATTAGGAAAGTATATCAGTAGACAACAACTATTATGAAAGCAACGAGATAATCATATGGCAAGATTCATATAATATTCTGAAATACTAGAAGAACACCTGCAAGTAATTTAATCGTCCCAACCACCCCATATATAATAGAAACTTTGCTGGGAGTCTCATCAACTGGTTCACCTGCATGGACATATACACACGATCACTAATATTATTTACAAGACATTTGGGTTTAAAAAACGAAGTATGTCATCAAAGAGAAGAACACCAAACATACCCAATTAAAGGGAGATGTACAACAAAGAAAACGTGACAATAAAAAAGTACATACCATTGAGTCAAACATTAGATTACTAACAACAATAAGCCAAAACTGCGATAATTACAGAGAAGAAGAATGCAGCTATGCCGAACACTTCTTGAATAAAAGAACCAGATCTCAATCAGTACTAGTTGATTCATTGATCTAATCACATTACAAAGAGTTTATGTTCATATCCATCTATGTGAAATTACAACAGAAAGTTTCATGTTAGTCATTGATCTATTTGCAATTATAACCCTCACGTTACAATAGTGCCCCTTAAAAAATATTCATATTCCAAAAGTGTTGCATACCAATAAAGCTGAAGGGCAAATTTTATAGGACAACTATGAGACCAGCTTTGCTCTATAGGGTAGAATGTTGGGCGGACAAAAAACAATATACCCATAAAATAAATGTAGTGGAAATGAGGATGTTGAGATGGATAAGTGGCAAGATAAGAAGGGATAGAATTCGAAATGAATCCATTCAGAAAAACTTAGGCGTAGCACCAATAAACGATAAGATGAGAGAGAGTAGACTTAGGTGGGCTAGCCATGTGTGGCGCAGACCAAGTATAGCACCTGTTAGGAGGTGCAAGTCAATTCAAGTATAAAGTTTTAAAGGGCAAGAGGTAGGCCCAAAGGATGTAGTTGGAAGTAGTCCAAAAAGATATGGAGGCTTATGGCCTCACTAAGGGTATGGCCCTTAATAGAGCAGAATGGAAGACCAAGATTCATGTAGCCGACCCCAATTAATTGGGAAAAGGCTATGATGATGATGATTCCAAAAGTGCCCATTAGAAAATAATATTCCATCTTCACTTCTCCCAATCTGAAGAACATCAAGGATCAGCTTGGCTTGTCATAGCCTTGTCAGTTTTGTTAATCATTGTCATTTATGTACATGCATGTTATGACGACCTGCAGTAAATCATCACTCTAAGGATCACTTAGGCGCAACACAAACATTTATTCATTGTTTTGCATGATACGTGGTTAATTGCATCAAATTGTTTTGGGAGATTAATGAATGCATAGCTACAAAGTTCAAGCTAATAGATGTGCAGATCATCCTTAATAATATGCCTGGTTCAATGAGCAAGCTGCGAGCCTACTAACGCAATAATTTATATCCAGATAGGCTGCGAATGGGAAAGACTTATATAATTAGATGCATTTTTTGTTCCCTTAGATTAAAAAAGCTCCCGTGCTAAACACACCACTGTATGCAATCAACTTTAACAAATGACCAACTATTGAAAATGCAAGTCCCAACCCGTCTTCTAGAATAGAAAAGAAAAGACCTCATGAGGTCTTTTCTTTCCTATTATACTATTTACAATGGAGCACTTGTTTGATAGTTTGAGGGAATTGAGCTGGCAAACAAAGCTTTAGTTTCATGTGTCTTCATGACAATGCCAATTTAATCAAATTTGAATGACATTAATGTTTCGGTCAGAATATGGCGAAACCCAATTTACTAAGGAAAGCACAGCACAATATGACCAAACCCAATTTATCAGCTTTAGATATACTTTGTGATTGTTATAATTTGAAGAAAGTGAATATATGACCAATAAAAAGGTTTTCAAATTCAAAGAACTTGTGAAGAATGGCAACAGAACACAACAAAAATCCACTACACTCATTAAGGATCTCTAATTTGTATATAGCATTAGGTTCTACAATGTCATACTTTAACCAAACAAATACACCAATACACTAGTGTGATGAAAAGACAGTGTCCCTACAAGCCTCCAACAAAAACATTTTCCACAGAAAACCCAAATAAAAAGACAGCCTCTCTAAAAGCCTCCAATAAAAACACTAATCAAAGAAAACCCTAAAGCATATCAACCACCTTGTGATTCAAGATAATTTTGTTGTTGTAAAAAGAGGGTTTGGATTATTCAATCTAACTAAAAGAATTCGAACAACTCCTTTCTTCTAAGACCCTAGGCCTGTCATCGACCCAAGGTGGCAATCACTTCAGCTATCAATTCACAACCCCGTACCTACATGTACATAGGCCTTACCTATGATTCTATAATGTAAACCAATATCACTATGCATGCAAGCTAGCAAAGGTCAATACAACCTCAAGCTCCCTTTTGCTTTTGTGGTTATATGGATCCTTCCAACCTAAAGATCCAAGGTTCAAGCAATGAACGATAAAGCAAAAGCAACCATGGACACACGTGTCTACTGTTATTGGCACTTGTTGACAAAACAAGGACACAATTGCGTGACTGACACATCTGAAACTTAGAGAATAATGCTTAACCAATTTTTTCCAATATCAATTATCAATTCGAAGCTTCAAACCTCCCTCTCCTCCAGCTCCCCTCCGCTCCCCCCCCCCAACCCCTTTCTTCTAAATGACAAGTAGATATGCAGTGTATGAAAGGCTAACTTTGGATTTGAGGTTTCTAACGCAACCGTGATGGCCGCTGGCACTTATGTTAGCGCCTTTGGCAAAGAACTCAGGGAATCTCCTCAAACATGATTTCTAAGATGTTCAATTCATTATGAATTGATCTTGCATGGTGCAAAAGGCTGCTAAATGAATCAAATTAATGTGCTGTGCAATAAGAACTACTTACTGAGCAGAGCCCGCAACAATGACAACAGTATCATAAGTTTCTAAGTCAGAAATTTAAGATAATTTATGGAAACATTAAAAAGTAAGGATAGTCCTTTCAAACACAACTATGTTGACAGTAAGCATAAATATACAATAATTTATCCAATGGAATTTTATTTTCAAGAGATTTCACCTTCATTTATTCATACCTGACAAAAATCTGGCCTTCCCAGTAAGGCAGCAGACTAACATGCTATAATTAAATTTTAAACTATTTTGTGGAGCAAGGGTAATTAAATTTGCCTAATCATCTCATCATGCTAATTAACTTTTGTTTTTTAATGAATAGTTTGCTAACAAAGTTTAAATTTAAACTATGCAAGTTTGAGCTTTCCCATTCTTTTCTCATTTACTAGTCAAATAACCATTTGAAATGATTTCTTAGCACAAAGAGGGGCACTAGCATAAAAATATCCATATAGAATGTAGAACTAAGAAACTGAAACACAAATAAAAATGGATCGACAAAAGATCTACCAGAAAAAGCAAATCACTTAGCCTTCAATGCTAGCACATCAATAGTCTCTAGGCAAATTCTTTTGAGTTGAAATTTGAAGTTTTAAACAGAGTTCAAAGTTCCTAGGCAAAGGTCGAAGTTCCACAATACTCTCCAGGCAATTCTTTTGAGTTGAAATTTGAAGTTTTAAACAAAGGTGGTCAAAGTTCCACTAATTCGCATGAAAATTCGAATGTATACACCGTTTGGGTAACAGTGATCACTACATCCATGAACGCTCCGTTAATTTTCAAATTTCCAGTGTGCGTGTGTTTGTGTTTGTGTGTGTTAGAAAGAGAGAGAGAGAGAGTAGTTTTCAGTGTGCGTGTGTTTGTGTGTGTGAAGATAGAGAGAGAGAGAGAGAGAAGAGAGAGAGAGAGAGAGAGCAAGGATAAGGTAAAATACTATTTATTTTTTGTGCAAAATAGGATACGATTCGTGGTGAAAATGGTCCGTAAATCACAGAAGAAGCGATTCAATTACCAGTTTCAGAATTAAATGAGAGACAATGAAGGAGAAAGAGATCATCAGATACATGTAATCGAGCCATAAAACTCAAATTGGCAAAACAAAACGAGATTGAGCAAATTCGAGAGAGAGAGAGAGAGAGAGCTTACTGATCTCCTGAATGACCCCATCGAAGCGGCTGATGGATAAAGGACGAAAAGGACCAGGATCAATGGGCTTTATCACATATTTGTCTGCAAATTCCTGCAACTGCATCTGGGTACAGAGCTTGTGTCCCTCCACAGAATCCCCATTCTCCATTTAACACCCCAAAAGATTTAGGGCCCAGCAGAATGAAAAGGCAGTATTCGTACTGGATATTATTCTGGAAAAGACCAGAGCGAGGAATCGAGCTTCTTCTTTTCCTTAGGGAGAAAATCACTCGGCTTCGAAGTTTGAAGAATCTAAGAGGAATAAGGGGGAACAGATCATCCGTAAGCGTTCATGATTGAAAATATATTCAAATAATCAAAAATATTGATGTAATAAATAAATGCGATTGACTAAACTTTTACATGCGGGCCCTCAAAGGAATAACGGGAAGCAAGTCATTGTTTGCTTCCCGTGCCGTAACTGAGAATTTCAGGTTGTTTATTACAAGCGAAGTCGTCTCTTCAAAAATTGTCGCATCATTATTTCGTAAAGTCATTTTGGTTTTTTGGCTTTTTCATTTTTCAAAAGGGGTGGTTTACCTTAAACAATCCAATTGAGGCGCATCTCCAAATTTAATCATAATATGTAATGTTGGTGTAAAAAATATCAGGATTATCTTAAAATTTATTTTATATTTAATTATAAAATTTTAAACTTTAAAAGTGATTAAAATCAAGTATATCTATAAATATATGAAAATCTTAAAAATAGACGGTTTAGATAATATGTTGCAAGATACACTATTTTTTAGACTCAAAAACATTTTTTTTTTCATATTCATATATATCGTTGTCGAGATGATCAATTAGATGGTTTTTCAATGTTAAAACAATATTTTCCGATGGGTTTTTGAGGCGCATATGTAATTCTACATTTTAAAATTGCAACCTTGTATAAACTTTTTCCTTTACAAAATTGCTCATCGGTCTTTCTTTTCTTTTTTTTCTTTTTTTTTTTTTCATTAATATGGATTGCCGTAATCAGTTCTAAAGAGGACCTCACTTGAGGTCCCCTTCTACATACTGCTCTTTGTTTTTGTTTTTTGTTTTTTTTTTTTTTTTTTTAGAAAAAAAAGGCAATATGAAGATAAGTACCACAAATTTTTGTGGAAGAAAAAAGTGGTCAGAGTTGGGGGACCTCAAACTGCTCTTTAAATTGAGCCCTACTAACCAAAAAACTATTAAAAAAAAAAAAAGTAAAAAAAGTTGTGAGAATAGCATCCTCAAACAAAAGAGTAATTTTTGAAAAAATAAAAAAAATATCTGTTTCTTGACCTTCCTTGTAATTTATCCCAAAAAGGGCTCATTTCATATTGTCCTTTTTTGGTTTTTTGTGTTTACCTATGAATTACTCTAAGATATAATCATTGGGTAATGATTATATGATACCTTCTTACACCCATGTGTGTAGGACTCCAAAGGATCACCATTAAATTTGTCGAAAATCTCTAAAAAAAGTCAAGTCTCACACCCATGTGATAACTTTTTTAGAGATATGTGTCAAATTTAATGGTGATAATTTGGGGTATTACATACATAAGTATAGGAGGGTCTCATATGATCATTACTCATAATCATTATATGCTATGTGACCATTCCTTTTTAAAAGGACACAATTTGTATAGAGCCGAGGCCCTAAACAATCAAAGTAAAACGCATCTTCAAATAGTGTTGAGAAATGTGGTTTCAATACTGAAAATCTTTATGATAGCCTTAAAATATATTTTCATCTGTAATTATAAAATTTAAAGCTTCAAATATAGTATAGATTGAGCGGATATGTGAAAATTGAATATCTTAAAAATTGACGGTCCAAAAATGTGTCACAAGATGCACTATTTCCAAAACTTGAAATCTATTTTTTTCTCATGCCTATGCATCTTGATGTCGAGATGATTAATTCGAAGATATTTGAGCATCAAAACAATCTCTGCTAGTGAAATTTTTGAGGTGGGCTCTAATTTGATTGTTTGGACTTTGTGATAGATTGAAGTGTGACATAATATTTAATAAACTTTATATTAGACTTTATGTTTTGTAGTGCCACACCTTCAACCACCCAACAATGTAATTCTGATCTTCTTATGCCAAAATAAATGATTGTATTAATATAATTAATGTTGGACTCAACCTAATCCTACCCCTCCTTTCTCTATCTAAAAAGTTAACCAAATTATTCTAGGACACGATTAGCATACAGCCAGCCGGCATATTGTAGAAATGGGGGCTTGGCAATAAATATATATTTTAAATATAATTTGATCCTAATTTTTAGAGATAATCTTTAACAGGGAGATCATAAATATGAAGAAAAAGGGAAAAATTAAAAAAAAAGAAAACAATCCCATATTTTCTATGCAACTTACCGCCAACTTAATTTTTTCTCACTTTTTTCCCTAAAACAGACTTTCTATGCAAATACCCCTCAAGGGAAACATTCATTTTTTTTTAATGGAAATACCCTTCCTATACACAAAAATCATTTTAGCTAGATTTGATGTTGACTTTCAGACTCCAGTAGCACATTGCCGGAGCTCACCATCGCATTGCCAAACCGGTTATTCCAGAAACTTAAGTGTTGGACTAGACAACTACCGAACCGAAATTGAGTATTGGCGTACCGCCCTTTACATAGTACCAGAGCCCTAGAATCCAATAACTTCTACTGCCAGACCGCCCTTTGTAACTATCAGATCGCTGTAACTTCAGAATTTGTATTGCCTGACCACACTTACACAGTGTCGGAGCCCTATAACTCCAGTCGTATCTACTGCCGAACCACCTTTTGCAACTGTCGGAGCTCTGTGATCCCAAAAGTTTTAATGCTGGACTGCACTTACATAATGCTGGAGCCCTTGACTTCAGAGTGTTCTATTGTCAAACCGCACTTACAAAGTACCAGAGCCTTGTGACTCCAGAGTGTTCTAATGTCGGACCACACTTACTCAGTGCTAAAGCCCTATTTTGGTGGGATAAAGGAAAGAGAGACGTGGATAAGGTAAAAAGTAAGGGAGAGTAGTTTAGTTATTTTTTTATTTATTTTTTGGTTGGGAGGTATTTGAGTATAAAGTGTATTTTGGGGGGGCGAAAGTGAGATAAAAAGTTACATTGTGGGTAAGTTGCATAGAAAGTGTAGTATTGGAGTTTCTTTGTAATTTTTTCCAAAAAGAAAGTTATAAATAATAATTATATTAAAAAAATATTTATACCGTTAGTTACAATTGTTTTTAAATGGACCACCTATTTACATTCAGATTTAAAATGGATGCTTTATACCTATGAACCGCATATTGTAGAAATGCAGGCCAACCCGCATGACAATTATTCATCATTCTATCCATTCACCAATGCCCCATCTCTCCCACTTAATATTATTATATATAGAAAATTTATCAAAATATATTTTATTTTCGACTATTTAATAGTCTCCAACTATTTAATATTATACTAAAATTAAAAGCACGTCGATTTAAAAGCAATTTCTAAATTAAATCGAAACACATGGTAAAATGTATCTTGGTGTATTTCGACAAATTAATTGAATGTGAAGGAGTTGAACAATGTCCCATTTGCTCAAATGGTCCCCCTTTCAAAAAGTCCGAATCTTCTTTTAGAAAGGGATTTAGATGCATTCCAGAATCTTGTTTTACAAAGGGATGAAGCCCCCTTTCAAAAAGTTAGAATATTATTTTAGAAAGGGATTTATATGCCTTCTAAAATCTTGTTTTGGAAAGGGTTTTAGATGTATTTTTGCTTTACTCATGATTTTGTGGCTCAAAAGATGCATAGGGCTGGTAATGGGCCGGGCTCGATCAGCTTGACTATAAAAAAGGTAGGGCTTGAGCCACGAACTGTGGCCCGAGGGCCGAGCTAGGGCCATTGCAGGCCTGGTTCGCTCCGGACCTCTTTTATTCTTGCTTTTCCCTGTATGTTTTCTACTTTTTTTTGTTTTGACTCAGCCTGATGCGGCGCTATGGGGATAAGGGCCTAGACCCAGCCCATTTAAGTTCAATCTTCGTTTCTTTCCAAATTAATATATCCGCTTCATTTCTCTTTCTTCCAATATATAAGTTTAACGATGGTCATGGTTGAAAATATGACATTATCATATTTTTCTTAAAAAGGCGGTATTATCCCGATAATTCAAAATTATCGCGATAAGTAAGAGCTACCCTATAAAATCGTTTTGTTAATATTCCCAATATTATTGGGTTTGATTTAAATTGCCTACCGACCTAAAAAAATAAATTTTAATCTTCCCAATAGTGTTGGGTTTGATTTAAATTGCCCACCTGCCTAAAATAAATAAATTTGCCAATATTCAATGATTTATAATTGATCGCTAGTTTCTGCATAAAGATAATTTGTCTTTTGAAAATCTAGCAAAAATATACCTAAAGTTTCAAGGAGTTAAGAATTTGCCCCTTTTCAACCATTACAAATCTGGATGAGTATTTTAAAATTGAACTAAAAGATATGGCAAAAATGTTAAATACTTGACCTCTCGTGTGTATTTGATAAAGTGCTTTTTTTTTTTTTTCTGGTGTGGTTTGTATAAGGGTGAGGCTACGAACCATCAAGGTGGACCTTCAAATAGTGTCGTTGTTTCAATGCTGGAAATATTTGCGATGGCTTTAAAATTTACTTCATATCTAATTATAAAATTTAAAGTTTTAAAATTAGTGTAGATCGAGCAGATCTATAAACACTTAACAATATTAAAAACAGACGGTCCGAAAAATACATTACAAAAAACATTATTTCCATACTGGAAATCTATTCTTTCTCATGTCTATACATCTTGAGGTAAAAGATGATCGATTTGAGGATTTTTGAGCATCAAAGCAACCCTTCTAGTGAATTTTTGAGGTGCGCCTTAATTTGATTGTTTAGGACTTTATCTATGTACAAATTTTTTCCCTCTTTTTAATTTTTTATTTTTTATGGCTCAAGTAAAAGAATTACCTAAGAAAACAATTTCCTTTTATCCGTGGTAAACATAAAAAATAGAAGGTCCAACCGGCCAGGAATATGGGATTTTTTATACAAAAGTATTTGTTTCATGTTGGTATTTAGTTATTATTTATAAAAAATTCATAGACTAAATGTTTTTAAATATTTTAAATGTCCAATAAGTTACCAATAAATTACTAATGAATAGAGTTCACTCAATGATATCCCAATTAAAACATTGTCACTAAGGATCTGACAATTGGTGCCTCTCTTAAGGGCTATTGGGAAAGAATAATTAACTCCGATCATTTGAAATAATGGGATAACAATGAATTTAACTCAATTATGGCAACATGCTTCCCAATTCAATTATTGTGGGGCAATCATGCACACATAAATTTATATTGACAGCTTGTACTATGATATCTTATTTTATCCAGGGAAGTTCTTAAAATTTGCCCCGACTTGTGAAGTATTTGCAAATCTAACCCTCATCATTTGTGGCTTTCACAGGATAGCTATCCCATATTCCTGGCCTTCCCACAGTCCACACTTTCAAAAAAAATAAAAATAAATAAATAAATAAAAGTTGCCTATATTTTACAAGGGAGTTGAAATAGCCTTTAAATTCAACGAATTTAGTTCAGTTTTTCAGAACTCGGATTGATGGGTAGGATCTTTTACCCAAAATCCGTGTCCAATCATTGGATCGGTTATTTAAATCAGGTTTGGATCGGTTTCAATATGTTAGATACGGTTTCTATATATTTTTAATGTACAATAGTGCATTGTATCAATGCAATATTTGGTTATGACGAAGGGTGCAGGTTGCTATATATATTCACATTTGCTGTATATGTTCACACCTAGAAAAATGGTGACAGCAAAAAATACGAAATGGTATTGACAGAGATCCGATTTTGTTTGCAATTAAACCAAAGAGAGAATGACCCGAATTAGCTTGAATCGATCAAACAACCAAGCAAGTCTTTAGATCTGAAGATGAGTATCAAGAAAAGAAAGCCAGATCCGTCAAGAAAATGATTCATTATAATTAAGGTGCACCTCCAAATTTAATCATAAATATAATTTTGGTGTAAAAAATTCTTAGGATGGTTTGAGAATCTATTTTAATTGTTAATAAAAAGTCTTAAACTCCGAAAATGGTTCAAATCAAGTTGATCTATAAATAATTGAAAATCTTGAAAATGGGCGGTCCAAATAATGTGTTACTATAATACTATTTTTATGACTTGAAATCTTTTTCTTTTCATATTTATATATCTCAATGTCGAGATGATCAATTAGAGAGTTTTTCAACATCAAAACAACCTTTTATGTTGAATTTTTTAAGTGCACCTTAATTCTACATTTTAAGGTTGCAACTTTTTATATTACTAGGCAAGAAAAGTTTTAAGGTTGCAACTTTTTATATTACTAGGCAAGAAAAGTCCTAAGTCACTCGTACATGCTGTGATAATTTATATCCAACACCATTTTTAAGATGAAGTCCCTTTGATCAATTGATTGCCCACACTTACATAGTACATATGCGATAAAAAGCAAGAAATAATGGGACCTTCTATGCCCATGTACCTTGCTTTTTGGTAGTAGGTGGTCACAATTCATCTTGACCTTTGAATGTGAAATTGGATGGTTGCATTTATTCCAATGACCAAGCTCAAACTTCAAAAGAAATTTTCTTGAAATTTATAATAGACCTAAGCTATCATATTTTAGATCGGATGGTTATAAGTGATTGTGACCTCCGTATATCAAAGGTAAATTGTCTTATTGCATACATTTCTTAAAATCGTTAAGTCGATGGACTAACACATGTATGTTCATGTCATAATTTGATAAGCACTAAAGGGTATGTTAGAAAATAATTTCAAAGTTATATCATGAGCATCTAATGACTGATATAGCTGTGGGCAATCTTTTGCTACAACTACAGTAGCATGTTGATTCTAACCATGAGTTATCCCATTTAATGAGTTATTTTCTAAAATTTGAGTTGGGTAACCATCATACAACTAGCTCTACCTACATGGCATCAGTATCAAGGTTTGGGCATGATTTATTCAGACTCACCTCAAAATATGATATATAGCTGACCCCAAATAGTCGGGATAAAACTCACATGATGATTACTCAAAATATAAAATATGAAATAGGTATTATTCCGTAGGCTGAGTTTCTCCATATTTGACCAAGGGACACTTTTTCAATCTACAATTAGCAATATCTTCCGAGGGGGCGTTTGATAACTGCGTAAAACGGTAAAAGTGCATGACTTTCTTGATAATATAGTTATCACCTATTTAGGAACAGTAAAAAATCGAACGGGGTCCCCAGTTTTTAGGCCACCAATTTTCATCTGTTTTGAGAATCTAAGAAAGTTCGCATCATAGATTTTCCCAAAAAAACTGCAGTGAAAGTTATCAAACACCACGTTAGTACTGTTTGATCAACAATGGGTGGGTGGGTGGACCCGGAAAGTAAAAAATTCATCCATCTAAAAGTGTATATGCCCTGAAACTTGAATATTTTCATTAAAACATAAAATGTGCATAAACTCGCCATGGTCACGGCCTTGTAGTACTATACTTTGCTCGAAATCCAATCAAAATTATGAGCTTCTTAGTTGATTCTAGCACATAGTGCTATGAAATTGATCCATCATGGGATTGTATACACATTCACCAGGGTTATGGCTCATTTTGGAGAGACTTAAGTCTAACTGGCCTTTGATATATCCGAAACTTGGGTTTTTCCCTTTTATCCATAGGCCTCGGTCATTATGACCTAATGGGGCTATTTGGGAAAGCATATAAATTGCTTCTTGCAAGTGTGTTACTTTTGGCACGGTTAATTTTGTTTCTATCACGACTAAGCTATGTTTGGTATCTCTCGAGTTCTTTTGAAACATGATGATACAAAAATCACCCATATAGATATCCCTTTAAATGTTGCCTACTGCCTTTTGAAACATGATGATACAAAAATCACCCAAATAGATGCCCCTTTAAATCTTGCATACAGCCATTCAAGTGAAGTGCCACTTATCAATTGCCATATATAAATCATATGGAGATCATTTAGTTTTGGTATAAGGAGGCCATAAACCACGTTTATCCATTGGGCTTGAAATCTAATAAATGAAAATGTATTACAATAAATAAAAAAATTTATTTTAAATTTTGTTTGTAAGTGATGACACATCCTCAACGACCCGTTTTCAAATCTCGCTAGATTGTAACTTCTCTGTATAAAAAATAAACGATATTATTGTATACATTTCCAAAAACCTTTGACTGTTTGCCGAAGCGATAGACGGTGAAGAAGATATCATGCACTTTTAATCACCTCGTATATTTAGAGATTATATAGAGCATGCTTATGTGGGAGCATACTATATATTAAGTCCCTCGATAAAAGAGATATTTTGAAAGATTGTTATTTTTCTTTGAGTTATTGGGATTTTAGAATCTAGATGAAAAATTATTATTTTTCTTTGAGTTATTGGGATCTTAGAATCTAGATATTTTTTAAATAAAAAAAATTACATTTTGAGTTGTTTAACGCCTAGATCTTAATCTATAAAAATTGAACATTCCTTGTTCAATCCCATATTATTACATTTTACAAGTGTATAGAAAAGGAAAAGCATACGATGAGTGTATTTATCATTGTTACAAGATGGTCACAATTAATGTTGGCCATGAGATGCGAAATTAGGTAGTTTTATTTTTTTCATTGACTAAGCTCAATGTTCAAAAGAAATTTTTTTCGAACCGATGACACACTTTAAGTTATTAGATGATTATAAATAATTGTGACATTATTGTATCAAAAGTAAACAATGACATTATCTACAATAATTACAATCTCAAAAAAAAATTATGGGACTTGAAAACTTGACGTTGATTCTTATGCTCCAGGCATCATACCCAACAAATTTGCCCCAAAAAATATTCCTACCTTCATACTAGCGCGAGGGAGCAAATGAAGAGTATGCTCTCGCGAGAGCAGCATGTCTGTGGGCTTTTTTTTTTTTAATATTTTTCCTGGTTCAACCTTCACTCTACCTCCCATGGACGAGCCTCAGAAAATCATGGCTACTGCGCTCAGAGCACCTCTCTGCTCTCGACTGATCCCTTCTCTCAAATCTTACTCTCTCTCCTCTGCATCACCCCAAGCTCTTCATTTCAATCTTCTTTCAAAGCCTCTTTCTCTCTCTTCACCCCATGCTTCATCCAAGCTAAGAAAGCGTGCTTCTCTCACTCTGGTTTTCTCTCTCCAAAAACTCTCCGAGACCCAGGCCTTCCCTGTTTCCGGTGAAGAGGGAGAATTTTTAGGAAAATTCCCCTCTGATTCTGGTGTGTATGCAGTGTTTGATAAGGATTCACACCTTCAGTTCATTGGAATCTCTCGTAGTATCGCTGCTAGTGTTGCTGCTCACAAGAAAGCTCTTCCAGAGCTCTGTTTTTCTGTAAAGGTAGGATTTTTGTTGATTTTAATGGCCTCTCTGCTGTTTTTTGGATTTCTTAGATTTTTTTTTTAGTAATTTCTCAATTTTTTATTTTTTTGTTGATATATATGGCTCATCTGAATTCCGCTGCCCTAATTTTTTCTAAGATTTTGGGGTTTCCCAAATTTGATGTTACTTTTGTGGTCCTTTAAATAATGGCATGAAAGATTTTTCTCTTTGTAGCCAAAACTGTTATGACATTTAATAATCTAAAAAAGAAGAAAAAATCATTTGGGTTTCCATCATTGTAATTGAAAGTTGAAAACACTGATGTTTTAGGGTAGTCACATAGATATATTTTTTCCTAGTAGTTTATTTTTCATTTTTGTATGGTTTGCGCTTTCAGGATGTGAAGGATTTTATGATGACTATTTCTTATCGATGGGAATTTTCTTTTGAAGAACTATGTTGCATTTGTATTGAACAGTGATTATAAAACTAGGCTCGAGACTAGGACTCGGCCTGGCTAGAGTGGAGTTACTAGGCCAGTTCCAAGGGGAGTCGGCTGGGTCATTTACAAGCCAAAACATCCCCCAAACCTCAAACAAAAAAAAGCCAAATTTTTGTTAACAATAATTAAAATAACAAAAACTAAAATAAGTATAGAAATCAATTCTATAAAGGGATAAGTTTATATAGAGCCTAGGCTCTAAACAATCAAATTAGAGCTTACCTCAAAAATTTCACTAGAAGACGTTGTTTTGATGCCCAAATATACTTAAATTGATCATCTCGACATCAAGATGCATGCACTTGAGAAAAAAATGGATTTCAAGGGGGAGCTGGGAGTTAGGATGAATGGGTCGATGCCATGGAAAGGATTTTGTTTAGGAAAGGAAATTATGGGAAACCATTTCTATCAGAAAGGGATCTTAACAATACTAGCAATAGGGAAAGTATTCTAACTCCATGGGTCTTAACCGCCTATCGGAGTAATGGATGTTTGAGAGAGAACGAGATTGTACGTCAATGGTGGGTTCGGTGCTTTCTCCCTCACCATCACTTTTTTCAATGAACAGCTATGGGCGAATGAGATATGGTTTTTCCGTAGTCGATATGATGCTTGCTCTTAATAGCAAGGTCATCTGATGTTCATGGTAAACTTTGGATGAGAAGCATGGACTTCGAACTTCAATCTGGTATGTGATTTTGATGTGGGTAATGAAATCTAGGGAGTGATGCACAACCGAAGGAATCTGACTTTCATGTTCTTTTTTTCCTGTCTAGTTAAGTAATTGGCATTGCAAAGTACTATAGCATCACTAGAAGAATAGTATCATATCTAATCATATATGGGAACTTTGACAGTGTCTCATGGAATGAAAGGTCTTCTACTCAAGCTAGAAATGATGGGGCGATTGCCAGAAAAAGAAGCATCATTAACCATACAACTCCCATCCCAAGAGAAATATGGATGTTGGATAATTGTGACTCTTTCATTTTCATTACTAAATGTATTTATTAGAAAAGTGAAAGGTAGTTCTTAATCACTGGGCAAAGGTTTGGTTATACTTGTCTGCTAAATGCAGTTATCATAACTGGACAATATGGAGAATCCAATGTCCTTGTGTAAAGGGCGAGGTTATACAACGTGACAACTTTGGCATTCTACACTATCTATTTTAGTTGGATGATGTAGATTTGACACATCTTCTAAGACAGTGTCAATCAATGGTATGTATCTTAATATAAGCATCGAATCTACACCGTGTAAATAAAATGGACAGTGTAGATCACACAATCTTAATTCTACAAATAAGGTTAGCTGACTCCAAATAACTGGGATATGGCTTGGATGATGATGATGACTTCTACAAATAAGGTTTCAACCTTACATGAACTTTTTCCTTATGTAAATGTGGCAAATATGGGATGAAATGCCAACTATAGCAATTTATTTTCTTTTCTCTTTTTGTCATGCTCCATGGTTCTATTGGCCCACAAATTTCATGAGAAATTGGATCTGCTGTGTTTCTTTACAATGATTATTGCATATAAAAAGCCCTTGTTGTGCAAAGAGTGAATGTTTGGAGGTCAAAAGGGCGGTCGCCTGTCTCTATGAGGCAACATCTTTTCCTTGTAATTGGGTTGGGGATGATTGTCATACGGATTTCCTGGTGAAAAGGTCTGACAGTCACCTTCCTGATGCAAGGAACTATGTGAATATTGTGGAAAAGGACATGTCTTCCAATTACTTTCCTTTTTTTCTTTTCTGGGTGGTTTTAACTTTAGAAATTTATCTGTTTAATTTCCTATTGTTCCTTCACTCATTAAAAAAGAAATCTATGTGGTTACATTTCTTCTCTTCTTCCTTCGAGAACATATATCTTAGTTTTAAATAGGTGGAATCTTATTAGTCTTAGGCTTCATCAGAACAAGATGCTCATTGTGAGTTGCATGAGGCTGATTTGATTTCGGTTGCTTTCAAAAGTTGTTTTGCTTTTAAATTTATTTTAACTTATGGTTTTTGATATGGACATGGATTAGTTCTTTCCTAGGGGGGACAAATTTTAACTCTTGACCCCCTCCTATGATCTAGTGTCCCTTTATTAGTGCATAGGCTACTAAATGAGATCATTATATATATATAGGAAAAGGGTGCGGGTGCGCAGCTTAGCTTATATAAGCTAAATGTGCCAACGGCCTAGATTGAATCTAGGCCGATTTAACGATCACGGATGTCCGGTAGTGTTTGAATTTTAATTTTTTTTCTACAAATCCAAATCACTTGAAATTTTAGGTGTGTGTTCATAAAAAATAGGTGAATATTTGAAAAATATTTAAAAAAATATTTTACATTAAAAAAATTGACCAAAATACCCCTGTAAAGTTTCGGGGGTATTTTGGTTAATTATTTTTTGAGGATAATTTTTTTTATGTTTTTATTAGGTGCGACTTGATGAGAAGAACATACACCTAAAATTTCAAGTGATTAGATTTGTAGAAAAAATTAAAATTCAAACACTACCGGACATCCGTGATCGTCAGATCGGCCCAGATTCAATCTGGGCTATTAGCGCATTTAGCTTATCTAAGCTAGGCTGCACATATATATATATATATATATATATATACACAGGATTGTATACAATGAGACCATTTACCTTGGGTATAGGGAGGTCACAATTATTTATAACCATCCGATGTGAAATCTGATTGCTTGGGTGTTTCACAAGGTTTGAGAAAATTTCTTTTGAATTTGAGCTTGATCAATGAAATAAATGCAGCCACCCAATTTCACATCCAATGATCAAGATCAATTGTGACCACTTTGTACCAAAGGTAAATGATCTCATTATATACTTTCCCTATATATATAGGCCCTCATGGCTATTGAATCGCCATTGAAGAACGACTGTTTGCAATGTGTTGGTAATGCTTCTCATCAATTCTTAGAGAATGGGGGCACAGTTGAAATGAGCAACTGAACTGATGAGGGTGTAACACTTCGTATTTAAGGGTATGGGGAATTATCTCATGAATGCTTGGTGCTATCCTGCTATTTAGTACCTTGGAAAATGTAGGTATGGTACTCCTCTTTTCATGTGTGTTTGTGGGTGGGGGATGTGGTTCTCTTATGTGTTTTACTGTTTATGAGAATATGATTACCTGGTGCTGGGCCATTGCAGTAAAAACAGACTTATACTTATTTTTTCCCTCCTTTTTTTCCTTTCAAATCCAACCACCTTAATTCTTAGATTTTTTTGCTTAATATAGTAAGCATTACTTTTTCCTAAACTACCGCTATGGTTTTGTTTTTGTTAATTTGCTTGGTACATCCCTTAGATTGCTGGACTAATGTTTAGAATACTTTTTTCTACTGCTTACCATCAACCCTCTAACAATTAAAAAACTCTGTAAGTTCTGGGAAAGTGGAAATTGGTTTGGTCCTCCATTGAATCTTTTAGTTTCCTGCAGTTTGGTGTGGTGGATGACCCAGACCGTGCTGCTTTAACTAATGCTTGGAAGTCATGGATGGAAGAGCGCATCTCATCAGTTGGCAAAGTACCTCCTGGTAATGAGTCTGGCAACACGACATGGGTTCGAAGGCCTCGACAAAAACCAGACTTGCGATTGACACCTGGTCGCCATGTTCAATTGACAGTCCCATTGGAGGAGCTTATCGACCAATTGGTTAAAGAAAATGAGGTGGTGGTTTTCATAAAAGGGTCTAGATCTTCTCCTCTGTGTGGGTTCTCACAAAGAGTAGTGGGCATATTGAATGAGGCCGGGGTGGATTATGAGTCAGTGGATGTGCTCGACGAGGAGTACAATTCAGGGCTTAGGGAGACACTGAAGATGTATAGCAATTGGCCAACTTTCCCACAAGTGTTTGTGAAAGGGGAATTGGTTGGAGGTGCTGATATCCTCTCATCCATGGCTGATAATGGTTCACTAGCACAGCTTTTCCGGAGATAGCTTTTGCAGGTGCTGCTTCCAATTTTGTGTTGGTATGGTGGTTTAGGATGTGTTTTACCTTTGTATGCTTATTCCAACTTTGTTTATGTAATATTGCCCTTCCCAACATATGTTATGGCATAAAAAGCTTCCTCTCTGGAATGATTTTTGGTTGCTTCTTGTACTCTATCACTAAATATATGTTTGCATAAATGGAGATGTGTATGTAGATGTGTGTATAGATTTTTATGTATGTATTTGTGCATGTTTATGGACATATGTAATGTTTATGCATGTCACATGTGTGTGGTTTCTTTGGGGCGAGAGGCCCTACATGCATGTACAAATTCATATACACATACATGCGCAAAGTATCTGTATCAATGAGTGAATTAGATAAGACATTTAAGCGATGTATGGATTTATGTTTGGGCGTGGATAGTGTTTGGCCCACACCTCAAAACTCTCGCGAAGCATGCATTTCTGGTACTAGAAACGTTATGGCATGAAATCTATAATTGCCCCTGATTATGAAATCTAGAGTTCCAAAAATGGTGTAGTTATGGTGGATCTGTGAACACCTGAAAATGTTTTAAGGCATCAAATGTTATTTTGTTTAAGGCATCAAATGTTTTTTCTCTATTTTTTAGATTGTTGAGGTAGAGGCGATCAACATAGGGGTTTTCTTGAACCAAAATTCCATTTTTTTGGCGGGGTTTTGGTGTGCAGTTGTATCTTTCCTTGTAAAGCCTAGGCCTTATATAAACTTTTTGCTTGAAGTTCATGGGTGCATGCCAGTGTTCATAAAACTGGCCGATCTAACCGTTAACCGCGGTTAGGTCGGAACTGGCTATTGGTTTGTTTTAGTGATCAACAGGTATTTTTTTTAAAATATATAAAATTCTCAAAAATAAAGAATTTGATTTGTAGTGCATATTTAATATTCTTTACATTATGGTAAAGATTAAAAAAAATTTGGTCATTAATACTCACTTTTATATTTTACCATATTCTTTAGAAAATTTTAAAAATAGCTCTTGGAAAAATATAAAATGGGTTAAAATCCATCTTTTTTTTTCCATTAATTTTCAACTTCATTTGAAATAGTTTTGTTTTAATCATTCTTTATATGTTTTTCATATTTTAGTAGATTTTTTTTTTTTTTATGCTTTTTTTTTTTTAACACTTTTTTGACTGCTCAAGACTTGCCGATTAGAGCGATCAAATCGATCGGTTTATCGGTTAGGCCGATTAAACCACTTCCAAGCCCATATTTTGTTAACCGTTCCGGTTTGATTTTGCGAACAATGGTGCATGCCGATGAGTAATTGCTCATCAAGAATCAAGATTAAAAGGGAATATGGTGAACGCTTATGAATAATTCTCATCAAGAAAAAAAAAGGTGAATATGTTGTTGGTAAAGAGAAGTTTTGATTACTTTTTACATGAGAGATGGATTAGTCTATTCTGGAAAGGTAATAACAACTGATGATTACCGGAAAGAAAGGCATATGGAAAAACCTTATAGAGATACTAAAAGACCCTATTGTTGACTAAAAATTAGTTATTAAAATACTCAGCTGGTCATCTTCCGAGTCAACCCGGACTGGAACACAAAATCTCAGCTGGTCGACTTCCGAGTCAACCCGGACTGGAACACAAGTGACTATAGGGGTAACGCCAAAAGTCGGGCGAGTCTCTTGAGCCAGGGCGGTGCTTAAGCCGGAAAAGGTTGTGCCACACTTTTCCGGACAGGCTTGATATGGCGCCAACTCTAGTTTTTTCAGATACATAATCTTTCTTTCTCTTTTATTTACTTTTATTTTTATTTATTTCTTTGTTTTTCTATTTTATTTTATTTTTTGTGGTTATTTCCTTGTTTATATGTTTAAGTTAGAATTTTTAGCTTTTTAACATCTAATAGGTGGAATCTATAGTTGGCACCGCCAGTAGATTTAGAAAAGGATAAGATCTATAGGATCTGGGATAATTTTAGATCTATAATTTGAGCGTCCTAAACTTTTTCTATGGATCTATAAAATTTAACTTGTTTTGCAAGAATTTTTGTCGATCTCTTATGGAGATCGACTCAAATTCTTGCGAAAACAGTAGCCATCCACCTAAGAGTGGAAAAAAATTTTAAAGATTTTTTTTAAAAAAATCTGAGCGTTCAAAGAACTGATCATCTACGAGTGGATGGATGGCCAAGAGTCAATCTTGAAGAAGAAATGATTTGGAGCACTTTTTAAGTTCGAAATAAATTTCTTTATAAATTAATATTAGCAATGGGAAAGTCGATTTGAAAGTTTTGATTTCAAATAAATCCACATAGCATCAATATGCTGAGTAATCAGGTGTACAAATTGGCCCTGTGGGAAAAGTCTTATCTAATATTCTTGAAAAGGATCACAACACAAGCAACATCAAGCAAAATTATTCAACCAAGATTCCTATCTAGTAATCAATGTTTTAAAACCCCATGATTTCTTATCTAGATTGTTGATCAGATGAGAATCAATCAAAACCGAACTGGTTTCATGGTGGTACGGGTCTTCCCCTAAATTCCTCCTTTATATATATATATATAGGGTTTTATTTGGCTACACTATATAATAGTGTAGACCCTTAAAGTGCTCAACATTTTTTGACAATAAAATATCATTGAATTGTAATACAAAATTTTTCAAGCAGGGGCATTTTTGGTCATTTATAAGGGTAGAAGGAATACTTTTATTAAAAAAATAGTGGCATTCTATTAGTAGTTAGAAACATCTAATGCATCATGTGAATGATATCACACACCATATCGATGATGTCATTGTCAACTATTGTTAATAAATGCTTTTGTTTCTATGAAAAAAATTTAGTTTACCCTTAACTAAGTACTTAAAATACCCAAAAACAAAAAGTTACTATAATATAGGATAAGTGTATCTAAATGTCTAA